CAAAGTGAGTTGCGAGCAAGGTGTAGAATAAGGGTAAAATACGATTATCTACCTTTCGTAATTTCCCTCGAGAGAGTGATGCAACCAGAGCTCGTCGTCTCGTGGTTTTGCTTCCTGGAGTGTCGATCTCCCTGGTCTGGTTCTGAGAAGGATCAGAGTCGGGGATCGAGTTGTCCGAAAGCTCACCTTGAGGTCTTCCACCTGAGGCGAAGCTGCCCTCCAGGTCCAACCTCCTTTGTTTACCTGGTGTAATGGAACGTGGGCCTGCTGCGCTGCTCGATCCTCCATTCGGGGGAGGTCTAACGCATTGTCTCGAAGTTGCCACATCTTCACGCTGAACGGCCGATGATGTAGTCGCTTGTCCTTCCGGTTGGAGGGGTCTCGATGTTGTCGGCTGTTGAGAAACCATCAGGGCCGCCCCCCAATCCTGAGAACAGGGAGGAGGGAAATAAACCTGGCCCTTGTTGCAAAAACGGGGGGTATAACCCCCCGGTCGCGCCTTGCTGGGAGGCCCATGGTATGAAACCATGTGTTGCGCTGCTTGGCATTCCATACATCGGCATCTGAGCTCCATGCTGAGACCTTAACGGGTCATAGGCTTGATTGAATGCCACGTTGTACTGCGAGTTTGAAAAGGTCGGTACAGTGGCTCCTACCGGGACGATACCCTGGCTTGTTCCCGCTCCTAGAAGAGCCTGCGAAGACGAGATGCCTTGATGGTTCAATGGACCCATGTAACCTGCTTGCTGCTGTTGACTTGGTTGAGCTTGGCCGTTACCCTGAGAGGTCGGGTGACCTTGAGATCCTTGGCTGACTGCCTGGTTGACTTGAATACCTTGGCCGCCTTGAGATCCTTGAGATCCTTGGCCGCCTCTCCGACATTCACTCGCTGTGTGGAAGAAAGCCCTGCATCGTCGACATCGAGGAGTCTCTGACGAGGCAAGTTTCACTTCCAATTCATCTCCTCCAGATGTGACAAATTTTATCCTTCATATTTGGACGTGAATTAGGGTCCAGCTCAAATTTGACGTTGATGAGAGATGGTTTCAATCTATCGAGTTCTATATGGTGTCTACGGATAACTGGACCAATCGCCTTGGCAATTTGCGCCTCCAAATAAATAAGCGAATCAAGTGGAATTTGTACCGCGATTACCCAAAAGGATTGGAGATCCTCATTACGTCTTTGATCGCTTAATTGGGCTTTGGTCAGCCATGGTTTGAACTCCAACCTATAGGTGGTAGACCCTATAGTGATTTCGTCCTGACCTTTCATAACTAGCCATAAGGCAATGGTTCCGTTCTTGGCTACATAGGACACCACGTTGGGACTTTCGATTTTCACCCTCCCACGCCTAAAGAGCTCCGCCTCAAAGCTACCGTCCTGAATCTTCTCATCTTCACAGGCCCTGATCACATCGTCTTTGATCTTCTTCGGCAAGAACCTCGCCCCTTCTCTAAAACTAACTGTCACGGTATGTTCTTTCAACCAAGCTATCTTAACCCGATCGAGTGCTAGATTAGCTTTAAACCTAGCCTCTCTCCCGTCTACAGACATTTCCCCCGGGTCAATCTCGGCTGGAAGGAAGCCCTCTTCATAACACAGTCTCATCAACTCTTTCACTCTCTCTTCATCTTCTCCTTCTATTCCTGGATCAGGTGGCGGGGATCGAGGTCCCCGGATGTCGTTGTCTTCTGCCATTGCAGCCGTCTCCATGGGAGAGAACGCACAATAGCTGCTGAGCAGGACCGCACTCTCTGCGTTGAACGGAGAGTGGAACCTGTTCGTAAGTTCTTCAATACTCAAGTCCCTACTTCAGGTGTCAGTAAACTTCACCTCCGAGGTCCGTACAACTTAACCGGCTGGGCGATGAGTAGACAGTTGTCCGAAAGCGGCCATTCCTGACGGCGACGAACATATCCCCGATAAACCAAGGCGGAGAAGAAGGCTACTCAATACCATGGCGTCATCATGTTGGTGACGTCACTGGCCGCCACAGTCCCCGCGTTACCGAGAGGATAGCGCTTGGTCCGATGCGTTTAGCGCCGGCGGAACCGCTCCGGCCGAACCCAGGTCTCGAAACTCTGCTATTCAAGAAAAGTCCGAGTCCTTTTTCCCTCACATAAATAACTGAAAAAAAAAAAAAAAGAACTGGCACAGGTGCGAACTATTTCTGTTTTGGGCCTGTCCCACCAGCCCTTTTGATTTGGTATGCCTCCCCGGATCGAAACAAGACGAGATCCATTTGGGGCGAAAACGACACAATTGCCACATCGGGTGCAGGTTTCCGTTGAGAAAAATGCGATTTGGTACCGTGACGTTCCCAACTTCCCGGTACCAAAAAAAAAAAAAAAAAAAAAGAAAAGAAAAGGAACTGGGACGACGCGTCGTGTTAACTGATCCGACTGTTAACATAACGCGGCATGTTAACAGCCATGTCAACAACAAAATAGCTGGCGAACGTACTGGCGGTTTAAGAGTACAGTTATGCTTTTTTTTTTTTTTTTTTTTTTTTTTTTTTTTTTTGCAGTTGCTCATGTTGCAGAGTGAATGTACAAGAACATCAAAAAAAAAAGAAAGAAGTACAAGCATATCCTGCTCAACCACAGCAGACGTGAAAACCTCACACTTGGAACACCACTATCGAAAACTTGATTCTCAGACTCCTGTGGCTCAGTGTGGTTAGAGCACCGGCTGGAAATGCGCATTGCGGTATATGAGGTTGCAGGGGGTTCAAAACTCAATTGCAGCCTTGCACAC